TCTATGTTTCTGTTTTTATACCATTGCCATGCTGTTTTGATTACTATGCTTTATATTAGGTCATGAAATATGAAATGTCCAATTTCAAATCAAAAGCATAGTTTATTATGTTTCAAACAAGAAGCAGTACAATTAATCAAAGTATGTACCTAAACTATCACCAAAATTTTGCCGTCTTAATAGTAGCTTATTTTTGCCAGCAATGAAAAAGCCTGGAAAGTGAGTGACGATGAAATCATGAAAGACTTTTTCCACAGCTTGTTGAGAATTGAATATTTTTCTTTGCAAGAAGTGATCCAAAGCCTGGAAGAAGTGGTAGTCAGTTGATGCAAGGTCTGGTAAATATGGTGGATAACAGAGAGTTTCCAAGTCTAGCTGCGGTAGTTTAAGCAGCGGCATTTGTGCGACACGTGGTCTAATGTTATCTTGAAAGAGGATTGGCCTGTCTCTATTGACCAGTCTTGGCTGCATAGTTGCAAGCATCTTCATCATTTCATCCAGTTGCTTATAGTAGACATCCCCTGTTATGGACAGATCAGGTTTCATGAAGCTGTAGTAGATAATACCAGTGCTTCACCACCAAACAGACACCATTAGCTTTTTTTAATGAATATTTGGTTTTGGGCTGTGTTTCACCACTTTACCATTTCTTTGTCTAACCATTGTGCTGAATGCTTGCAACTGTCAAAAAGAATCCATTTTTCATCATACGTAATAAGTATGGTGAAAATGATTTGCCTTTATGTTTTGACAGCAATGAAAGGCAAGCTACAAGACAATTCTTCTTCTGATGCTAATTTAATTCATGCAGAAACCACCTATCCAGCTACTTTACCTTGCTAATTTGTTTCAAATGGTCCAATATTGTTGGAATGGTAATATCAAACCTTGCTACTAATTCACGCTTAGGTTGAGATGGATTCGCTTCCACTATAGCTTTCAGCTCATTATCCACCTTGGTCTCAGGTCACCTACATGGCTTATTTTCAAGATTAAATTCACCAGAACAGAACTTCTCAAACCATCAATGTACTGTGTGTTCATTAGCCACATCCTTCCCAAATGCTTCATTGATATTTTGAGCTGTCTGTGCTGCATTGTTCCCATGACAGAACTTACAGTTGAAAATATCACAAACTTTTGACTTATCCATGGTTTCACAAAAATTGCTCTAAAAAAATTTGAAATATAATCACAGCTCAAAAAGTGCATTTGAAAGAGGATTTACCTTCACAATAAAATAAAACAAGAAGTGTCAAAGTGAAATGTCAGAGATATCAACTGTCAAACTTAGTATAATATAAGATTAAGAAGGTATGACTCACATAAACAATTTGAATAATTTGAGAAAATGGAACATTTTGAAAAACGAAGAAAAAGGAATAACTATAAATTGCTATAGTAGCAGTGCTACAGAATTTTAAAGTAGTTGGTACATATTATATATACATATTTTTATTTCAGTATATTATGGGGGTACAGATGATTAGGTTGCGTATGATGCCCTTGCCCCCTCTCCCCTCCAAGTCCGAGCTTTAAGTGTGTCCATCCCTGGGATGGTGTGCATTGCACTCTTTGTGTATGCATATACCCGTCCCCTCATATTTTATAAAATATATTTTTCAGTACACACAAAAATTTTTTAAAAAAATAGTAATCTAAGTATAACACCAATTATATAGCATGTATTATGATATTAGTTAACTGATGCATATTAAAAGATACATTGCCAATTTGAATGGGAATATGCACTTTGTTTTCCTTGTCCAATTATTTTTGACTTAGTGGGTATATTAGTTGTCATTTTATTCCTAATCATTTTAGGTCAGAACTCATTTTTAGAATTTGATATAATTCATGAAACTTATCTATTATATAAATGTACAAAACTTTATTTATAATTACCAGGGTAACAAAATCTTAGAAGTTCCTTCAAATATTCCAGATAAAGAACCCATAGTCTGTATAAAATATATTTTCTCTCTTTATGCTATTCTTTAATAGCTCTTTTAGAAATTAAGGTAAAACTAGATACATAAAGTAAAAAATTATTTTAAAAAACCCCAGAGGAATACCTGGGAAGCAGGGGTGGATGGGTGGACTGTTTGTAAGCATGGTTTATATCAGGAACATTTAGTGATTACCATTAAATAAGTGTAATCAACTTGTCTTTGAGTCCGTTGGTATATACAAACAAGAAATTGGTAACGTTTATTACATATTTGGTTGAATAAAGACAAATTTCTGGAAGTGATATTTGTAATGCAATGAAATAATGCAATGAAACGTGAGGAATTCGCTTCTAGAAGATTCTCTATAACTATTAATGACTTTGAGTAACTTTTTTTTTTTTCTTTTTTTCCTGAGACAGAGTCTCACTGTATTGACCAGTCTAGAGTGCCGTGGTATCAGCCTAGCTCACAGCAACTTCAAACTCCTGGGTTCAAGCAATCCTACTGCCTCAGCCTCCCGAGTAGCTGGGACTACAGGCATGTGCCACCATGCCTGGCTAATTTTTTCTGTATATTTTTAGTTGTCCAGCTAATTTATTTCTATTTTTTAGTAGAGATGGAGTCTCGGCTCTTGCTCAGGCTGATCTCGAACTCCTGAGCTCAAACGATTCACCTGCCTCGGCCTCCCAGAGACTTTGAGTGAGAAAATTGCTGTTCTGCCTGGAAGCAATAAAAAGACCTAATTCACTGGTTCTAAAACTTTTACAAACTTTCACTTCTATAGGGACTGATTTTATTAGAGTCAGTTGGGAATCTTAAAATATAAATGAATACTTCTCACTAATAGACATTTTTCAGTATTCAGATTAATTAAGAATAAGGTGTTTCCCAGGAATCAGTATTAAAAGAAAAGCAAAACAAAACCTCCCAGATGACTCTGAGGTATGGGAAAGTTTGGCAAACACTGACCTAATTGACCTCCAGGGCCCTTTTTATTTTTCAAAAGAGACCACACATTTTAATATATTCTTCTAATTTACTTTCTTTTTTTAAGAATAACTATATGGCTAGAAAAAAAGACTTAGGACCTATGGTAGATAGCATATAGGAGGAATTCTCAGTTCTGACTTTGTATAATATAAATAATAATATTTTCTCGAGGTTCAAACTGAAGACCCAGACTGAGATTCTCTTTTGGTTCTAATAAGGAAGAGGTATAGAAGACTTATAAATAAATAGGTCTATTTACTCAGATACTTGAATAAATGTATATATACTGTGAAGCATTTTTGTAATTAATTACACTTTTCTCAAAGCTTCCTTTACAAGAACAGCAAGCTTTTAAAATCCTTCAATGAGACTCTTTTTGGAATAAGCTGGATCTTAAGAAAGGTAACTGGTTTTTAAAATCATAAATATTTCTGAATATAGTTTTTGAAACTTAGCAAAAATTTTTTTCTGCTCATTTTCTCATATATCAATTATTTATTAAGTGCTTTCTATTTGCCAGGTGTTATGTATTTCTTTTAATTTATAGATATCATTTCATTTAATCTGTGCAACAACAATCCTATGAAGCAGATATTCTAAACCATATTTTGATGATGAGCAAACGGAGGCTCATGAAATTTAAATAATTTGTCAAAGATTACTCAGCCAGTGAGTAGTAGAGCATGGATTAAAAGCCAGATTTATGTGAATTGAAACACCATGCTTTTAACCAATAAAATATTTTGACTTCATAAAAAATCATAAGAGAAGCTAAATCAGTTTCACATCTTCTGACTACATTGTACTTCTAAATTTATAAAAAATTCCAAATAAAAATATTAACTTCAAATATGATAAGTTTCTTGAACAACTTTTTTTGTTAGTTCAGAAATTAAATATAGTAATGAAACCACAGAATTATAACAAAATTTCTCTTTTCCACTTGACTTTAACTTTTCAGATATATTAAAAATTATTGATGTTTTATCTGTATGCCTCTTTAGTATTTGATATTAAGCATTAATTGTTATAAAAGAACAAAAAACACAACCTATGCAGCATAGAATTTTCCCCTTACTTATTTGCATTAATGTCTTGTCTTGTGTTTTATTAAAAATATATAAAGGGAGAAAATTTCTGTTGGGAAGTTAATCTTATACTTTACCTGTAGTGCTTCTATATAAACAAAATAATTCACATGTCTAAGACAGTAAAAAGAAAAAAAATGCTAGAGTTTTGATGCCAAAAAGAAAGCAACTAGCATATAGAGATTAGTAGTGAATGAAATAGAAAATAGAAGTTGAGCAGTGTAGTTAGTGTACAGGGTAAGAGTTTGATTAATCACTTTGGATGACTTTCTTCAAGAGTGGTGCTTCATTCAGCATCATTAAACTATAATCCCATGTTTCCTAATATTTTTACATAGCAGAATGTTTTAAGAGATCCACATTAAATTCATCTTGTGTTGGGGAAAGGAATTGATCTATGTTTTCACCCAATTTTCCATTCCTAAAGCATAAAGAACTTTATGTGTCTGCTTGTTTACTTATTTATTTGATGAAGATTTATGATTTTTAAGGTGTTTGAGTCTGGCTTTTCACATCCAATTTCACATAATCCTCACAATCTAATAAAGTAGATATTATTAGTACCTCCCATATGGAAGAGGAGGACTTTTGAGGCATAGAAAATATAGATACTTATCTTAGATTCTTGTAGACCTAAAGAGGTAAACTTTGGACTCAATTCATGTCATTCTAAAGCTCTTAACGAGTGGCCTGAAATGACTGATAGCCTCACTGCCTAAAACATCCTTTGCCCATTCACATTTCTCACATCATACGGAAAATAAATGTATTAGAAAAACCCTAAACCATCTTATTTTGGTTGTAGTTTGGGTGCTTCTAAGTGTAAAGCTATTCCATCAGATGCACTGCCAAGAAAATCCCAGTGTTGGCATTTTATTTTTTTCATTGGGAACTTCAGGAACCAAAAGTTGATCAAGGTTTTCCACAGGCTTCATAATAATGCTCTCATTTTCTTAGATTGGTCTCAGCTATGAAGAGTGAGCTGAACAGGAATTACTCAGAGTTAACAGAGTTTATTCTGCTGGGATTCAGATCATCTCCAGAAGTACAGATTCTTTTATTCTTACTGTTCTTGCTTCTCTACATGGTCATTGTGTTGGGAAATACCAGCATGTTAGTTGTCATTAAAATAGACTCCAGACTTCACACGCCTATGTATTTCTTTCTCAGAAATTTGTCCTATTTAGATCTCTGCTACTCCACAGTCATTGCTCCCAAAACTCTGGCTACCTTCTTGTCCAAGGAAAAGAAAATTTCTTACAATGGCTGTGCAACACAATTCTTTTTCTTTGCTCTCTTTGTTGGGACTGAAGGTTTTCTTCTGGCTGTGATGGCATATGATCGCTTCCCAGCCATTTGCTCACCTTTCCTCTATAATGTACGTATGTCTCAGCAGGCTTGTGTCCGTTTGGTGATTGGGTCCTATATCTGTGGATGCATCAACTCCATGATACAAACAGGTTTCACCTTCAGCTTGCGCTTCTGTGGGGAGAACAGACTGGACCATTTTTTCTGTGATGTCCCAGCCCTGATCAAGATCTCTTGTGTTGACACCTTTGTGAATGAGATTGTATTGTTTATTCTCTCTGCCCTCATCATCCTCACCACCACAACTGTCATTCTGGTATCCTATGCTTATATCCTCTCCACTGTCCTGAAGATCCCCTCAATGCACGGCAGAAGTAAGACTTTCTCCACTTGCAGCTCTCACATCACTGTGGTGAGTTTATTCTATGGAACTGTGTTCTTCATGTATGCTCAACCTGGGGCCATCTCCTCACCAGAGAAAAGTAAGATTATAGCCGTATTCTATACTCTTATCATCCCTATGTTAAATCCTCTGATTTATAGTCTAAGAAATAGAGAGGTGAAAAATGCTTTAAAAAGGATAATGATGAGAAAAATATCTTTTAATTGACCTCTAGCCATCTATAAAACTGTAAAATCAACTAAAAGCAATGCTACCAAAAATTTGTTATAGAATAGTTTCAAAGAAAGACATCTAAAAGTTTTGGAGGTTAAAGTTTATTTCCAGTTTTATCATCAATAGGTCTTTTTTAAAAGGAAATTAAAAATTAATATAGATTTTTCATATTTCTACATAATTATTTTATAGTGTGATATCTAGGTATCACATAGGTTTGTTATTCTTGTTTGATTTGGCTTAGTTGTATTCAGAATTGTAGCTAAAATACAGTACTACCAACTTGGTACATTAGTATACACATTAAATTTATTAATACAATATCTTTGTGTGTGTGTGTATATGAACATCTACCTGTTTATCTGTCTATTGAGAAAGGAAAACTAGAGATAGGCACTACTAAATGTTTTATCTTCTTTATTTTATCCAGATCATAAGCAAGTTGGCCATTGTCCAATCTTTGTAAATGAGAATTAGAAGTGCTATGGTAATATAAATTACTGGCTTTGCGAAATAATTATACAAAGGAGTAATGCCAAGTATTATACCAATAACACTGTTAAATTATCTAGGTAATAATGATTTCATCCAGAAGCAAAATAAATAAATAAATGAATGTCATATAACTGCTGTTACACTATTTTTTCTTGAGGGTCTTAATAATAAATATTTGATAAATAATTAGTATTATTTATGCTTATTGAACTAATTAGTTTCTATTTATGTTCTTGGATCATTTTCACAAGTTATTTATTTATTTGAAAATCCTTATTTTCCTCTAGATTTGAAAAATTATTGCCATG